CCTCCCCCTCCTCTTCCTCCTCCCCCTCCTCCCCCTCCTCCTCCTCCTCCTCCTCCTCCTCCTCCTCCTCCTCCTCCTGACGGGGGACAGTGAGAGGGGATGGGAGGGGAGGGGGGGGCAGGGCTGGAAGAGCGGGGAGTTGGGAGCGGGACGGGAAGACGGTGGCTGAAGGAGGCAGCGGGGGACGAGGAGGGGTCCCGTGCGCTTTTAGTGTTGGTGTCTTTGGTGGTGTCGCTGCGTGCGTTGCTTGTCGGTGGGTGCGCGGGTCGGAGGCGGCGTTTCCCCCCGTGGCTCCATGCATGTGGCCTCTTGTAATTTTGATGGGGTGCGCGAAAAAGCCTGCGTTGCGAGCAGTGCTCAGTGAACCAAGGACATGAGTACGAAATGTGCCTGGATAAGATTGGGGTCCTCTCTGTTCTGGACGTCTCTTCTGGACTTGAGGAGGCGGTGGCCACCACTGTGGTCAGTGGAGATGACGGCGTGGGGCCTGCGAGCGGCGGGCGCCTCCGTTGCCAATCTTCTGGGCACTCGAACATTGTGCAAGCCTAGACCTCGGACGTCACCCCCCAACGCATCGACCCCCAGACCTTCTGGAGAGCGCATCGACCAGGACTCCGAGGTGAACCTGGTCGTAGCGACAAGGAGCGTCCAGGAAGTGGCCAAACGGCCGAAAACTTGGGAGGGGGGGAAAGGGGAAGCAACATGATGATGATGAGGAGGAGGAGGAGGACCAGGAGGAGGAGGAGGAGGAGGAGGAGCAGGCCGCGGCGCGGATGAGGCTCGTCGTCGGAGAGGAGGAGGAGGAGGAGGAGGAGGAGAAGGAGAAGGAGTATATGAGGAGGACCCACACATCCCACGTCGCGTTTTTTCTACAAAGTGGGTTATCAGAGGTCTGTACTCCGACCTGGGTCCCAGAAAGGACCCTAAGAGGCCGAAAATAGTCAAACGTCTTCCGTCGTGATTTTTCTAGGTCGCGTGGCTTTCGACTGATACCTCTGGTGTCTAGCGGCCAATCGGGACAATCCGGGCACCTTTGGAACGCCCTCGGCGAGGCGCAGCTGTAGGAAAGCACCCCGAGGCTGGAAAACTCCAAGACCGACGGAGACGTCCAAGAATCTCGAACTGGCGTCGTCGCCGCCGCCGTCGTCTGCGGGAGGCTTCCGCGACGCTGGGGTGCCTGGCTGCTTTCGTGGCGTCGCGCTGGGTGTGGCCAGCGGCCTCTTCTTCGGGCTGACCGGGCTGTGCACCGGCGTGTTCCAGGCCGCCGCCGCCGCCGTCGCCGTCGTCGTTTCGTCGTCGTCGTCGTCGTCGTCGTCGTCGTCGTCGTCATTTTTTGTTGTCGTTCGAGATCTTCTGTCGTTGTGTCGGTTGCCGGAGGTTTTCCAGCCTCGGGGTGCCTTCCCTCATGCGTCGCGAGAAAGCACGACGGAAGCCTTCGGGCAGATTTCGGTTTCTGGGGTTCTCGCCAGAGGAGGAGGAGGATGTCAGGAGGGAAAATACACACACAGACACAACTAAACGTCGATTCCTAAGAAAATATAGGAAAATATGGGAAGTGGGAGGAAGACAAAAACACAGAAGATATAGGGAAAGATTGGGAATCCTGTTATTTCTGTCTACTTATTTGTGTGTCCCAGGGCCCCTTCAGGATGGAGGCATCCATGAAGTTCATAAAAAGGGCGGGGCACAGACCGTACAAGAAAGGCCGATTCCATACACCTCGTCGTCCGATGGCTCTGTTCGCAGGGTTAAGTCGGGCATATCCCTCCACAGGAGGAATATTCAAAGACAGTCAAAAATAGCCTGGGCACGATTTTTGAGTATTTGAATATGTTTCTTTTGATTTTCCTCCAAAACCCACCCGTCGGGGGACATGCCCGACCTTATCGCAGGGGTGGGGGGGGGCCGAGCACAACCTTCGACCGCGCAACAGGATTGGCCGCAGGGGGAGCGGACACGAGGCCTCATGAGGCTCACGGCCCACAGGGCCCCTCTTCTCAACCGGTTGCGCAATCCCCGTGCCCGATGTCCTGCGCGAAGCACGGCACCAGCGCCACGATTGCAGCTAAGCGCCACATGCAGAAGGCACGATGCCACGCTGTTTGTTCTTGACGACTCCGGCAGGCTTGTCTGCCCCCTGCAGTCACACATAATGAATTTTTGAGTGTCCCCATGGCGTGGTGCCGATCACCAAGACGCGATACCCAGAAGCGCAGTAGTCGCCCCCCCCGCGGCAGGGGGAGGAGTGGGAGGAGGAAGAGGAAAGATCGAGGATGGAGAGGAGGAGAGGGTAAAGAAAGAGGAACAGGAAGACGAGGAAGAGCATGGGGGCAGGGGAATGAAGTGCGGGAGGAGGAACTTCTCGATTCGCATCTCTGTTGGCTAGCCCGGTGAGGCACCCATTGAGATACAGGACAGCTGCCCCGGTTGAGGCCCAGCATCTTCAATTCTGATTAAATCCTCTGGAGACGAGGATCTTGAGGACCTGGGGCGATGCCAAGGGTGTCTGAGCGCTCGAAACAGTTGGTTTGAGGCCCCTGGTTGAGAGTTCTGAGGTGTGGTCTCCACATCTCAACCGGGCTTCAACCACCCTGATCTTCAGTCGAGCCTGTCCCTCTACAGGAGGAATATTCTAACGTAGTAAAAACAATATACGGGGATGATTTTTTGACCATTTTTGAGTATTGGCATTTTTTATTGTTTTTTTCTTCCAAAATCCGCCTGTAGGGGGACATGCCCGTCCTAACCCTGATCCAGGGTTTCAACCTGGTCTCAAGACAAGGCCTCAAGCTTTGACCAGGGGTCTCAATATGGAAAGCGCGCCAGTGGATGACCCTGAATACACAAAAGGGAGGTGTGCTCGCATCCCCCTCCCTCCCCCCCTTCAAAGGGGGGGTGAGATTTTCGAAAGAGGGGGTGCGAGGGTTCTGTACCCCCCCCTCCCCCTTTTGAAAGGGGGGGGGGTCCCCGACGACGGACCGGGACAGGGGGGGAGGGGGGGGGGTCCCCCACGACGGACCGGGAAAAGGGGGGAGGGGGGGGGTCCCCGACGACGGATCGGGGAAGGGGGGGGGTCCCCCTGTAAAAAAAAATGAACGCCCCAGGGGTCCGTTCCCGTTCCCGTTCCCGTTCCCGCTCTTTTTCCCGTTTTCTCGTCCTCTCTCTCTCTCTTTCTCTCGTCCTCTCTCTCTCTCTCGTCCTCTCTCTCTCTCTCTCTCTCTCCCTCGTCCTCTCTTTCTCTCGTCCTCTCTCTCTCTCTCGTCCTCTCTCTCTCTCTCTCGCCCTCTCTCTGTCTGTCTCCGTCCACCCTGAAGGGGGTCAAGAGGGAGGCTCCCGAAAGGCCGCGGACGCTTGGAGGCTCCTCGTTGGAGGCTCGGGCGTAGTAGTAGTAGTAGTAGTAGTAGTAGTAGTAGTAGTAGTAGTAGTAGTAGTGGTAGTGGTAGTGGTAGTAGTAGTAGTAGTAGTAGTAGTAGTAGCAGCAGCAGTAGTAGTAGTAGTAGTAGGAGTAGTCGTAGGACTAGTAGTAGTGATAGTGGTAGTGGTAGTAGTAGTAGTAGTAGTAGTCGTCGTAGTAGTAGTAGTGGTAGTATTACTCGTAGTATAGTATAGTAGTAGTAGAGTAGTTAGTAAGTAGTATAGTAGTAGTAGTAAGTAGTAGTAGTTAAGTTAGTAGTAAGTAGTAGTCGTAGTAATAGTAGTGGTAGTCGTAGTAGCAGTAGTAGTAGTCTTTATCGTAGTAGTAGTATAAGTAGTAGTCGTAGTAGTAGTAGTAGTAGTAGTAGGTAGTGGTAGTAGTGGTGTATAGTAGTAGAGTAGTAGTAGTAGTAGTAGTAGTAGTAGTAATGGTAGTAATAGTAGTAACAGTATTAAATCGTAGAAGTAGTAGTAGAAGTAGTAGTTAGTAAGTAGTAGTAGTATATTGAAGTATAGTAGTAGTAGTGAGTTAGTAGTAGTAGATAGTAGTAGTAGTCAGTCGTGAGTAGTAGTAGTAGTAGTAGTAAGTAGTAGTAGTCGTAGTAGTAAAGTAGTAGTAGATAGTATTAGTAGTAGTAGTAGTAGTAGTAGTAGTAGTTGTTGTTGTTAGTAGTAGTAGTAGTAGTAGTAGTGGTAGTAGTGGTAGTAGTGGTAGTAGTGGTAGTAGTGGTAGTAGTAAGAGTAGTAGAAGAAGAAGTAGTAGTAGTAGTAGTAGTAGTAGTAGTAGTAGTCGTCGTCCCAGAGAGACACAGAGCTGCCCCCGCTCACCACAATAGCGACCCAAGACGCCCACGACGGCCTCCAGACAGTCTAGGATGCCTCCAAGACCCCCCAAGAAGCCGCAAAGCACCTGCCCCAGAGGTCCCGAGGCCCGAATCTCCGGCATGTTACAACGATTTGTTTGGTGGATTTTCACGAGTGCGCGTGTCCAGCTCCAGTGCAATCCGAAACGGCCCCAGACGCCCTTGACCAGGAACCTTCCAACACGGCCCAACAACAGGCCAAGCGGGCTGTCGCTCGGAACCACATGCTGGGGCAGCGATTTCCGTCTAGCAGCGGGTTGCTTTTTGCGTTCGATTGTTGACGCACCTGCGCGCGCCGAGAGGCCGCAATTCCCCGCGTTCCTCTCCTACTCCTGGCCCTGCTCCTCAAACTACTCCCTCCCCCTCCTCCCCCTCCTCCCTTTTCCCAGCGCTTCACCCACCCAGTACAGCGTTTCGTGGCCCCGTAGGGAGCCACACCGAAGGTCCCAGTAGGACAGCCCGCATGCGTCCTGAAAACCTAGTGCAGCGTTTCGTTGCCCCCTCCTCCGTTCTCCCTGCGTTTCACCCACCAAGTACACCCTTTCGTGGCCCCACAGGGAACCCCACCGAAGGCTCCAGTGGGACCGCCCGCATGCGTCCCGCACACCCGGTACAGCGTGTAGTGGCCCCATCCTCCCTCCTCCCTGTGTTTAACCCACCCAGTACAGCGTTCCGTGGCCCCATGGGGAGCCACACCGAAGGTCCCAGTGGAACCGCCCGCATGCGTCGTGGAAACCTAAGTTGTTTTTTCCCAACCATCCTGTGGTGTCGGGTCCTCTTTTTGAAGAGTTTCTTCTCCCCCTCTTCCCCCTCCTCTTCCCCGCCGCCCGCACGCGTCCCCCACACCCAATTTGGCACACCCCTCACACTTTTCGTGGCCCCGTAGGGAACTCCACCGAAGGCCCGAGTGCCATCGCTTGCATGCGTCCCCCACACCCAATGTGGCATTTTCGCCCACCTAGTACAGCGTTTCGTGGCCCCAAAAGGAGCTCCACCGAAGCCCCCAATTGGACCGCCCGTTTGCGCCCCCCACACCTAATTTGGCATTTTCACCACCCCAGAACAGCGCTTCGTGGCTCTATAGGGAGCTTTACTGAAGCCCCCAGTGGGGCCGCCCGCATGCGCCCCCCCCCCACACCCACTTTGGCATTTTCACCCACCCAGTACAGCGTTTCGTGGCCCCAAAAGGAGCTCCACCGAAACCCCCAATGGGACCGCCCGCGTGCGTCCAACACGCCCAATTTGGCATTTTCACCCACCCAGTACAACGCTTCGTGACCCCATGAAAAACCCCACCAAAGGTCCCATTGGGACCGCCCGCGTGCGCCCCCCATGCCCACTTTGGCATTTTTCCAATCACCCAGTAAAGCGCTTCGTGGCCCAATAGGGAGCCCCACCGAAACCCACAATGGGACCGCCCGCATGCATCACCCACACCCAGTTTGGCATTTTCACCCACCGAGTATACTGTTTCGTGGTCCGTAGGGAGCTCCACCGAATCCCCCAGTGCCACCGCCCGCATGCGTCCCCCACACCCAATGTGGCATTTTCGCCCACCCAGTACAGCGTTTCGAGGCCCCAAAGGGAACTCCACCGATCCCCCCAGTGGGACCGCCCGCATGACATTTTCACCCACCCAGTACAGCGCTTCGTGGCCCCATAGGGAGCCCCCCCGAAGCCCCCAGTGGTACCGCCCACATGCGCCCCCACATCCAACTTGGCATTTTCACCAACCCAGTACAGCGCTTCGTGGCCCAATGGGAGCCCTACCGAAGGTCCCAGTGGGACCGCCCGCGTGCGTCCCCCCACACACACCCAACTTGCAATGTCACCCACCCAGTACAGCGCTTCGAGGCCCCATAGGGAGCCCCACCGGCGCCCCCAGTGGGACCGCCCGCCTGCGTCCCCTACACCCGATTTGGCATTTTCACCCACCCAAAACAGCGCTCCGTGGCCCCATAGGGAATTCCACCGAAGCCTCCA